TCTTCCGTCTGAATCAGCTCGTGAATGTAGCCCTGTCTTTTCCTCTCAATTGGCTGCATTGTGTCCAGGGTTTGCAGATCAGCACACCCTGGGGGAAAAACAGGGTAAGTTTAAAATACTATTTTAGTTGTCATTAATAGACACTTATTAGCTGCTGTGCTGGGTTTACAAACGCCGCTTTGGAAGAACTATGCAGCTTTGGAAAGCAGGCCCTTAGCTTCTGCAGAGCACCCCCACAGCGCAGGGAGTCGGCCTTCCGGGTCCATCACTCCGAGCTGGAGAGCAGCAAGTTAGCAACGTCTGTCATGGGTCAACGTGCTTCTCCGTTCTGTTCTGAGTAGTAACAACAGAATTAAGGAACTTGGAAAATGGCCTCAAGGAGATCAGAACGGGGCTGAGCTTATGAAGAATCTCACCATCTCAAGACACTTTTGAAGTCACTGAGATGATTAAAATGGATTGAATGCCTTGGACGAGTGTCTTCCAAACCGTAAACCATGAGTCATTAATGGATCATTTTAACAAGTTAGTTTTTCTAAGTGCTGGTCGGGCCCAGCATCAAAATAAATAAATAAATAAATAATAAAGAAAGAAGAAAAAAAGAGAAAAGAAAAAAGCAACTCTTATATACACAGCTTCGAGAACATTTTAAATTATGAGTGGATGTGGGGAGGTAAAATGTATTTCTTTTTGTGAACAAATGTTTAAAACAATATTTAAGAAAAATATCTCTAGATGTCTCAAAGGAAAGTTCTCAGGTTAGGGAACCTAAAATTCTCAGGACTCTGGTCCCCAAGACCTCTCCCTTCACTCACCATAACAGTTTGGAAACACTGCGGGTACCCAGCCATAAGTGACCCTGAAGGAAGTCACAGGTAACCTCATTCCAGGGTGAGAGGTTCTGTATTCAAGGGGATCAACTGACCAGCACATCAGAGCTGAGCTGGAGGCAGGCTGTGAGGTGGCATAATTCCAGAATCACGCCTTCCACAGGCGGCGGAAGGCGGGCTGATGCACGGAGATAGGGGGATACTCTCTGGAGCCCTTTCTCAGAAAGTGAGAGCAGGTAGGCAGCCAGCAAGCTACCAGGGGCAACAGGGGGCGCGCATCAGGAAACAGGGAGGGAGAAAGGGCCGTGAAGTGGGGAGGACGCTTTGTGTTGAGGCCATCAGGGGAGGCTGCAAGGAGAAGGTGTTCTCTGCAGCAAGGCCTGGGCAGGCGGGGGAGTGTCTGATAGATTTGGAGGGACCCTCACAGGGAAGGACGGTCTGGCAATGAACAAAAGCCCCACAGGCAGAACATGTGAGGAGTTTTTGAAGGTCTTAAACAGGTTTTTTTTGGTTTGTTTTTAAAGAATTATTTAATTTTATTGATTCATTCACTTATTTTAATTTGACCAGAGAAGGACAGAGAGAGAGAGAGAAGTGAGAAAGCAAGCCGCTAGGTCCAGGACTTGAACTGTGATCAGCTATGTGGGAGTGTCCAGCACCTTAACCACCATGCCACCTGCTGGTCCCTGTTTGTTTTTTTAAAGAGAGAGATTTTTGCTATATGGTGCATGTGCTCGCCAGAGAGACAGAAAGGGAGAAACCACCCCCCAGGGGAAATGGCCACGCTGCAATCCCTTCTCCTCCAGTCTCCTCTCAGGATTTTGGGCATATAAACACACATGCCCAGTGTGAGTTTTAAGCCACTGGGTCTGGGACTCGAACTGTAATTGACGAAGTAGAAGTCCAGTGATGTAACCATTATGCCATCTGCCTGTTCCTAAACAGGTTTTAAAGATTTAAAGACTGGGTCCTTAAGAGGGTTTCTCTTTCTTTTTTTTTTTTTTTTTTGGAGAGGTTTTTCGCTATAGGGCGCATGCGCTCGCCAGACAAAGAGAGAGAGAGAGACAGAGACAGAAAGTGAGAAATCACCCCCAAGGGGGAATGGTCACGCCGCAATCCCTTCTCCTCCATTCTCCTCTCGGGATCTTGGGCACGCACACACACACACCCAGCGTGAGTTTTAAGCCACCGGGTCCGGGATGCAAACCGTGGTCGACTACGTGGGAGTCCAGCGACATAGCCATTACGCTAACCGCTGGTTCCCGAGGGTTTCTCTTTCTAACCTGCTTTGAATTTTTACATATTGTATATGGGTTTGTGCTCACACATGGTTCTAACAAGGAGAGCTATTCTATTTTCTACTGAAATTGCCAATAGCTTTAAGAAAATCACTCCTGGGGCCAGCAAGTAGTGTGGTGGTTGGGGTAGTAGACTCCCACATGGCTGAGGTGTGAGTCCTGGACCTGGTAGCTTGTTTTCTCATTTGCCCTCTCTCTGTCTATGGTCAAATTAAAAACAAACAAACAAAAAAGATACTAATAAAATTTAAAAAGTAATCATTAATAAATAAGAAAATTACCGTAAAAAAATAATTGAATAAGACAAGCTATGTTTTTTTTAAATCTTTTTATTTGTTGTTATTATTATTTTTTTTATTTGCCCAGAGAGAGAATGCGCTCGCCAGACAAAGAGAGAGAGAGAGACAGAGACAGAAAGTGAGAAATCACCCCCAAGGGGGAATGGTCACGCCGCAATCCCTTCTCCTCCATTCTCCTCTCGGGATCTTGGGCACGCACACACACACACCCAGCGTGAGTTTTAAGCCACCGGGTCCGGGATGCAAACCGTGGTCGACTACGTGGGAGTCCAGCGACATAGCCATTACGCTAACCGCTGGTTCCCGAGGGTTTCTCTTTCTAACCTGCTTTGAATTTTTACATATTGTATATGGGTTTGTGCTCACACATGGTTCTAACAAGGAGAGCTATTCTATTTTCTACTGAAATTGCCAATAGCTTTAAGAAAATCACTCCTGGGGCCAGCAAGTAGTGTGGTGGTTGGGGTAGTAGACTCCCACATGGCTGAGGTGTGAGTCCTGGACCTGGTAGCTTGTTTTCTCATTTGCCCTCTCTCTGTCTATGGTCAAATTAAAAACAAACAAACAAAAAAGATACTAATAAAATTTAAAAAGTAATCATTAATAAATAAGAAAATTACCGTAAAAAAATAATTGAATAAGACAAGCTATGTTTTTTTTAAATCTTTTTATTTGTTGTTATTATTATTTTTTTTATTTGCCCAGAGAGAGACAGACAGAGAGAAAGGGAAAGTGAGAAGGCATGCCACCAGGTACAGGACTCGGACCACTCTATGTCCTGCCTTCAAGATTTTTGCCAATCCACATCATCTCTACTGTCATTTAATACTTTCTTCTATATTTATTCATGTGTGAAGTTTAATGTGGTTCTTATGTTCCTTCTAATAGTTATTAAATAAATATATAGTCATTAAAGCCTACCTGGATGCTGTGTTGCTTCCTGTGCTGTGTACTAAGGGGTGTTCTTATCACATCCGGAGAAATAGTGACTTGGGTTAGATTCACAAGCATTCACCCCCCTCTGGGAGAATGTCTTGGACTAGTAGGAAAAGCCTCAGACCTTTTGTCGTTTCTGAGGTTAGAACCTGCGTAGCAGGAGCTGTACCAGGGCCAGTGAGGGGACAACTGTCGTGTGCCACACCGAGCTGACCCTCGGCAATTCATGATAGCAGCACGGACTTTCATTCTCTGTTCCAGCTTCCTAACTGACCGCTGTCCTCACTTCCAATGTCCTCTCTGTGGCTGGGCAAGAAGTAAAGGCCCGAGGCCGCTCTTACTTCCTCCCCTTCTTCTCTCTGCTCACTCGTCCCTGCACTTCCTGGGTCAGGCGCTGAGAGAGCCCTGTCCCTCTCTAAAGCCAGCGTGCTTAACCTGGTCTCTGCAGGACCCTTCCCTTCCTTCACGCTTCCATTTCTAGTCCTCCCTGCTTCCTTCTTCGCCTATAAACATCATCCTGTATCCTTCCTAACCCTTTCTTTTCTTTCCCTTTTTCTTTTTTTACTGCCAGAGGGTGCATGAACTTGTCAGAGGGGGAGAGGGGGAAAGCATCACAATGGGGCAGTCACTCAGCAATCCCTTCTCCTCGTCCTCTTGGGATTTTGTGTGTGTGTGTATTGGGTCGTTGGAAAAGTCATGACGTTGTTTTCTATGCAAAAAATGTGTCATGACTTTTCTGATAACCCAATACATGCACCTTCTAGGGCTGGCATCTGAACCGTGGTCAGCCATGTGGGATCCAACTCCCTTAACCTCTAGGATGTAGGGCTGGCCCCTATCCCATTATTTAAAACAAACAACCTTCTTTCAATCCTTTCCCCCTACCCCCAGCAACCTCTTCCTTTTGTCTCATCGCCAAATGTCCCCACAGAAGCCTACTCCCCCAGTTCTCCCTGGCAAACTCCCCCAGTTCTCCCTGTCGCTTTTCCCACTGGGCATTCTGGCTTCTGTCCCACGGCTCGGCTCATGCTGATCTTGGGAAAGTGACAGTAACCTCAGTGTGGCCAAGTTCAACGACCACTTCTGGGCTAATTCACCTCTACTGGCCCACAGCACTGGCACCTGGGATGAGCTCAAGTCTCCAGACTTTCAGCCTTTATGACTCTCCTCTTTCTGGTATTTCCTCCTATATTTCTGCCTCCACCTGCCACCAGGCTCTCTGCTCGCCCAACCTAGCAGGTCCCACAGTGGGGTCACATGAATCTGAACCAAGCCGCGCACGGTGCATTGGTCCTGTGGGATCGTCCTGGCTCTGAGGAAGCCTGCACCACAGCGACTTTCACTTGATGAGCCACGTTCTCAACAGCCATTTGACGACAGAACTCTTCTTTCTGAGGGGAGCAAGGGCAAAATCTTTGGATGAGGAATTAGGACTTTATGGACAGAATACATCCATTTGCCATCTTCTCTACCTGTTCTGCCCAATAAAGCAGCCATTATCGACAGGTGTGGCAAATGACCAGCTCAGACAGAGATGTGCTGGATGTGCAAAAGGCACACTGAAGTTTGAAGACCTGCTGAAAAAAACAAAAACAAAACAAAACAAAACAAACAAATGCAAAACACTGCATTAATCCTATATTCATTATATATTGGAATGATATTTTAGATGTACTAGATTGGTAAAAATACCGTTTAAATTAATGTCATTTCTATCTTTATTTT